GACATTTTCCAGTTTTTTTACGGAATTTTTTTTTACTGTGTACGAAAAAAGCCAGAAAAAATGTAAGCCAACTGACAAAAGTTAGTTTGAATTTGTTATTTTACTTTTACTCAAAATGTTTTTGGTTGAGTTGTATTGCATGTTTGGACAATTTTTTCCCTTTGGTTTGGATGTTATGCAGCTGGAAAGATTCTTGCTCTTACTTTTTCACTTTCAGACAATTGTTATAATGCATACCCGTGGCAACAATGTATTGTTTTTATAACTGGGAACATCTAATTAGTACCTCTAAAGCTCAAATAATACCTCCAATATGATCCCAAATTCCACATGAGCTTCATAAATACAGAGAGCAGAGACAGAAGGAGGAATTCAAACTCTAACCCTACATAGGCAGCCATTTAAAGAGGAGCAACAAAAGCAAATGAGGTGGATTAGCAGTCCTGATTTCAACGTAGAAGCCTACTGAAAGACATTTTCAGTTTGTTTTGAAGCAGATATAGCCTATACTTCTTCTGCTTCCTGTGTATTCCCTCTTGAAAAATGAGGCTACAATTTTAATAGTTTACGAAGCTTAGCTTTGATATGAAAATTAGTTTGTCGATAATTTTTATATTTGATTTGATTTTACCATCTTAAAGCAAATTCTGTCATTCAGAGGCTCTTTAGCAGACATATGTTGACTACTTGGGTTAATGTTTATGTATCGCCAAATAACTACATTATACAGTCAATGTTTGAGTTGGCCTGAAAGAGAAATGCCACATCTTAAATATGTAACACTCTCACTGCCTGAACTGAATTACTAATTTTACTTCTTTAGAGCCCTTGTGGTGTGGGGGGCCCTAATCAGCCATGGGCCAGTCTGTATGATAGATATCATTGCCGTCCCTCATCCTCTTAATGATAGAAAGAGACAGATGCACAAAAAACTGAATTCAGTTGATTAGTTATGAAAAATCAGGGTTGAAAAAGTCAAGATGTGTCATCTAGATTTCCAAAGCAGAAGCTGGAGGCTGTAAGGAGTTTGTGCTCCTTTTACACTAAACAATACTCCAGTAAAGGACTTATGTTGAAGAGGCGAGGGCTTGCTGCTGATATACTGAACCATCTGTTGTTTACACCCCGGCGTTACCTCATGGGCATCCTCTGTGAAGAAAATGAGACAAAAGCACAGGAGCTGATGAGTGCTCTTGAATTTATAAGCCCTGGTTTTT